CACAGACAGTCAGAGACTTCCCCAACTAATAACCGCTGACATTCCTCTGCCTCTGTCTCCCGGAGAGCGTCTGTCCTCAGTCTGTCCTCTCTCACTAACTGTGTCGCTGTGCTTTCACTTCTCACTTCTGGCTGCTTTTCTCCACTGTCAGTGTAACCACGCTTCTTCTTCCTCCTCCCTGCCTGCCTTTGTGTTCCTTCTCCCTCCCTCCTCTCCTCTCCCTTTTTTTTCTTCTTCTTTTAAAAATCCCTGCTCTTAAACCAGGGAAAGCCCTCCCTGCCGAGCAGCTCTCTCTCTCTCTCCCTCTCTCTCTCTCTCTCTGTCTCTGTCTCTGTCTCTCTTATAAAAAAGAAAACAGGACGGCGGATCTAAAAACAGCACTAATTCCTCCATAACTCACACGCGCGTTGTCGACATCAGATTAGCAGCTAACCTACTTGTGGCGTAGCTACAAACCTCCCGCGCCTCCGCAGAGGCTATAAATACTCCTCCGTTGTATCGGCGCATTGATCCGATCGGCGGGGACTAATGAGGGCGCTAATGAGGAAGAGGTGCGCGGCGCGACCTGCACCGCCTCCACGTCAACACCACGAGGAAAAAGGAGGGACTGAAGAGTGTGGATGCAAGTCATGATTATGTTATGTTTTTTATGAATCAAGACACATCTCGTCTTGTTTTGTCTGACCAACAGCACAGAGACACATCAGACGAAACAAATGCTGCCTCACAAATGAAATATTTGATGTTTTTGCTAGAAATAAAATGTATGTATCAAATCATTAAACTGGCTCTGATACACACGTGGAGTCCACCTCATCAGGTACACCTGCATGATATGCTGAGTCATGTTGAAAACTCCTGTGAATCCATTGCCAACAATAGGCGAAAGTAAGGCAGCTTTGGTATTGACGACCTCCCAAAATCTCTGCCAGGTGTGGGCTCACGTAAAAAGAAAAGCAATGTTGTTTAGTCTGTAGTAATGTGGAAGAGCGGACATCAAAATGTCCCTGATGTCATGAGGTTGTTCACAAAACTGTGCAACAAACAGGTCAAATCCAACAGATGATTCAATATGCAACGATGTCAAAAGCTGCAAAAGCTTTGAATTGAACAGCGATCAGTCAGTGAACGTTTGTCATTTCTGATCCATGAAATGACTTGAATGATTGAAAGGAAAAGTTTTTACGTTTCTGTTTGTGTATGAATGAAACAGAGATATCTGTTCATTAGTGAGGTTTGCAAGTGCAGGTGGAGCCAAGCCAGCTACTGTTTCCAGCCTTTATGCTAAGCTAAGCTAAGCACCTTATTTTTGATCTTCTTGAACTCTCAGAAAGAAAAACAAATGCTGAACGAGCAGTCACCAAAGTTGCTGTCCATTCTCTCTGTTCATATCAGCGCTACAGGTGAGGATGACTGTTTTCTTCATCGCTCACTCAACTGGACGGGGCTGATAACACACGCCCACACACACACACACACACACACACACCATCAGACACGACACCTGCACACACACACACACACACCGCTGAGACTCACTGATAGTCATGCCAAGCACATGAAGAAAATGTAAAAAATAAAAATAGTTCTAAACAATTCCCGGATTTCATTTTTACAAGACACACCTGAACCAGAGAATGAGTCACACATCAACGCCCTGCAGGTTCACACACACACACACACACACACACACACACACACACACACACACACACACACACACACACACACACACACGGCGGCAGCTTCCTTGTTATTTATTTTGATGAAGTGTGTTTGGGGGTAGCCGGCAGAATCAACCAGAATGCGAGGTCTAAAAATATCACTGGAGGATTGTTTTTCTTAAACTCGCTGTTCCTCGCTCTTCCTCGCTGTTCGAGGAGGAAAGTCGTGGCTCAGAATCCCCCAGAGTCTCTCCCGCCCGGGAGGCATCGGGGAGCTCAGAACCCCCCTCCCAACATCTCTTCCCATGGCAACAGCGGCTAAAGGAAGAGATGGCCCGTGTTACGCAAGAGGATGAAGCTTCCCCTTCCTCCTGCTCCTCCTCCTCCTCCCTCTCTCACATATTTCCACAGCCTCCCTATTAACCCTCTTTACGTTTGCCCCTATATCGCTCTCCTTACCCTGACATCATTCCCCCCTCTCTTTCACGCTCTCTTTCACACCCTCAACTCTGGCGCTCTGCCATCATCCCCTTCCCCATCCTCGACTGCCTCCCCCCCCCCCCCCTCCCTCTCCATTTGTCCCCCTTTCACCCTCTCTCCCCAGTCTTCTTCCAAGGCATTTATATTTGACCGTGGCTGCAGAAACACTGCTGCCGCAGCACTGCTGAGCGGTTTTCGGTTTAAAAAAAAAAAAAGCTGTTCCTCCAGTCAGCTGTTGGTTGGTTTGCTGGAGGCTTGATGTGACCCCATGACCCTGCTGAGGGGAGCGGAGCTGCCCATCATAAAGCCGTCGTCACCTTTTCAGGGTTTCTGCAGGATTCACCAACTTTAGGACTTTTACGATCCTTGTAACACCACATAGTGAGATGTAACATACTTTGTATTAATGAAGGTATCCCTTCTAGAAGTTACAAACTGTTTCCTTCAATGCGTATTTGCTGTGGCTGAACATTAAAAGGTATTTTAGACATGTGGGTCAGGGTCGTGTGGGACGAGGACTCGTCACACCTGACGGCCGCTTGTCACTCCGCTCCTGCAGCAAGCCAGAGGGTGGCGGCCGACGACCTCCTGACCTCGCTCTAAATATAGGTGTGTGCCTACGTCTTTAAAATATTGACCCGACCTCGTCCGACCCGGCTCAACCTTTCCGATGACTGACACTCTGTTCGGGGGGGGGGGGCTTTCAATCTTTCACCATTGACCCACCAGAGTCCACAGGGTCGTTGGGCAGCCAAGGACGAACTCCCCACCCCTCTGCTCCCCCCTCCCCACCGACGGCCACTTCGGGGCGTGCAACACTCACTCTCTCCGTCATACTCCTCCCCCGCATACCTCACTGAGTCGATACCTAACTAAACACACACACGGATGAAGCAAAAACACGTTTCCCGCCGGTGGCGAGCAGCGAGGAAGCAAAACAAAGAGTTTATGAATGAACAGGCTTCGTCATATGAGGCAGGGCCCCTGTTTTTATGTGTGTTTTTTTTAAAAGAGGCCCTACAGGAGGAAGTTGTTTGCCTACATGATAAGGGTCTGCTGATTCCTGTAAAATCTCACACTGAGCAGACAGTTACATGAACGTGTGCAGAAGTCGCTTATTCAAGTTCCGTTGGAGATTCTGCCAGTTTCAAGTCGGATTTTATTCAGACAAAGTTCTTGGATGACTGTTTGTGATGGGACACATTTGAGACATTTTTATTGTTCAACAAAATTGTTGTTTATTTCTCTGTGTTGCTCAAACTATTGATTATTGATTGTCTTTTTTTGGGGTAATTTGTTTACTGTTTAAGTCATTTATAAAGCAGAGACAGCCTAACATTAGCTGGTTCCAGCTTCTCAAATGTGAAGATTTGTGACTTTTCTCAGTTTTATAACATTTTAAATTGATTATAGGAGTTTTGGGACCGATGGTTGGACAAAATCAAACGTATGAAGATGACACTTGGACTCTGGGAAACAATCGGGGGTATTTTTCACCTTTTTCTTGACAATTTAGAGAAAAACAAAGATTAGTGAGGAATGGCACTAATATAAAAGAAGACTCACAATGTGGATTGAGTACGGACCTTAAAGTCACAACATGGTTAGCTTAGCTTAGCATAAAAACTGGTAGCAAGGGGAAACACCAAGCCTTGCTCTTTCCAAAACGCTTACAAACTTTTCTCTAACTAAACTAACACACGTCTTGTCCTTAAGTACAAGCCGACAAGATGTTATTTTTATAGCACCGCCATCACAAACTATTGTCTCAGCAGTGTTGTACCAACAAACACAAAGAGCATCAGTCACTGCTCGCCACAAAATGCTCGCTGCAATTTTCTCTATAATCATTTCAAAATGCTTGTTTTGCCACTAAATGCACAGCACTTCTTCAAGTTTCCTCTCCGAGCTTCTCCACAGATCACTGAGTGTTTAAGAGGGGAGGAGGACAAAAAAAAAAAAAAAGCCTCTACAGAAGCAGAGAAGTGCTGTGTGGAGATTTTTTAAGAAAGCAGACAGACACGTCTCCTGACGGCAAAGTGTCACTTTAGTTTGTCGCCTGTAAGCGAAGCAACAGTTTCTGATCGTTGGTCCTCCCCCCCCCCCCCCCTCGTGCATGTGACCCCCACGCTGCCTGATGATGGCGGACGTCCCACGTGGCGGAGAAACGACAAGTGTCAGGGTTGATAAATACAGCCCACAGCCTGACCTTCAGCAAACCACGCGGCTAACCTCTGCCCTTCTCGCCCACTTGCCCTTCACATCTGGTGGGCACAGCGGCAGAGGACTCTCCTGAAGGCTAGACTCACAAATTGAACCTCAAATTCGGCCGTAACGTGTGTAATCAGTGAAGAAAATACACGTCCGTGAGCAGAATTAAGACGCTGACATTGAATTAATTATGAGCCGTTGTGCCGCTGCGGCAAAACTGCTCCCACTAATGCTAATAGCGGAGCGGCTTCATTGGCATGGGGGGAAATCGGAGTCAGCAGCTCTCCTGACGACGGCCTTATGAATCAATGCATGATCTGAGCGCAGCCCCAGACTGGACGCCGACTTGAGAAAAAAAACAAAAAAAAAAAAACAGGATGAGGAGCAGTGAGCAGAGAAGAGGATTCTCAGAGGAGTTTTTGAGCCAGAGAGGAATGACTGAGTGTACCTTCAGGGCTTGTCGCTCAAGAGGACGGGAGGGGGGGCACCAGATCTGAAGCGACGTCGGCACATT